ATCTGTTCCCTGTGCTGTCCTTTTCATCTTTGTGACTTACTTCATAACTGGAAGTCTGTACCTCCTGGTCCCCTTCTCCTGTTTGGCCCACACCCCTCCCCTGACCCCATGGGATTCATCTTCAGATTGTTTACCTTGAGACATACCTTGCCTTTGAACTTTGAGGGTGTTGTTGAGGGCTGAGTTTTTCTCCTGGCCAGACTGCTGCTTTGGGAGAAGGTTCTGCTTGGTGTCCCTCTGGCCCTCAAGTTTTTATAGAACTCTGATTTATCAACCACCTCGTTACCCTATTTGATGCCATTTGGCAGGTGAAGAGGCCCAGGGAAGATGGGGAGTGTTCCTAAATGTGAGCACACTGGAAGCTCTTTGGCTAGGAGGAGGTTCCTTCTCTCATTTGAGAGAAGTGCTTAGGGGTTCTGTATCAATCTTGAACTTGTCTCCCAGATGCCCTGGACCAAGCCCATTCCTCATGTTTGGATGCCCTGAGGTTTTTTTTTTTATTTATTTATTTATTTATTTATTTATTTTTTTTAAAGATTTTATTTATTTATTTGACAGACAGAAATCACAAGTAGGCAGAGAGGCAGGCAGAGAGAGAAGGGGAAGCAGGCTCCCTGCTGAGCAGAGAGCCCGATGCGGGACTCGATCCCAGGACCCCGAGACCATGACCTGAGCCGAAGGCAGAGGCTTAACCCACTGAGCCACCCAGGCGTCCCGCCCTGAGGTTTTTAATTTGTAGCAGCCTGGGGCAGGGAAAGGGGGTTGCTTCGTGACTCATAAAGTCACACAGGCAGAACCACAAATAAGGGACTCCAGTTGGCAAAAACCAAATTGCTTCAAGGCTATTCTTGGAAACTAAAGCATCACGTCTTGTTTCTTCCCAGAAAATGCAGAAACCTTTCATATTTCTGGGTGGTTTTATTTATATTTCATATCAAACTCGAAAAAGCAACAGCTGGGTGGTGGTTGACAAGGAAAATTTTAACAAGAAGAGCTACTACCCAGGATCCTCTGCTTTAAGTAATATTTGAGTTTCTTTTGGGGAAGGAGAAGGAGGATCCACTGCAAGAATTCCACTCCAGTCTCTGGAAGAAGGGTCTTGGAGCGCAGATTCAGACTCCCAGAGCCCTTCCAAGTCAGCCTTTCTAGCTCACTAACAGACCTACCTCATACCAAGGACGTTTTCTGTTCGTTCTTGAAACCTCCTTCTTCCTCACTGTACGTTTGAGGGAACTGAAATCTCAGAAATTAAATGGGTTGTCCAAGGGTACACAACTAGGAAGTAGATTTGAACCCACATCTTCTGAGTCGAAAGCCTGTGGCTTCAACTTTTAAAGTCCAGATAATTCCTTGACCTGGGCAGCTGGTCCCTTCCTTGTGCTTTGATGGCATTTGGGCCGTTGGAGGGATAGTAATGACTGCTGGTTAGCGGTAGCTGCCAGGTGCTAAATACGTCACGTTTGTGAGGGAGTTTATTCCTTCCGGCCCCATGAAGCGAGCGTGATCATCTCGTTTTGCCGATGAGGAAACAGGCTGAGATGTGTTAGGTAACTTGCCTCCCTGGTGCGTGAGACCAGATTCACACCCCCGTCTGGCAGACTCTAAACACTGAGGCTCTTCCGGAGGAAACCTACCCCACATGGGTGTCAGAGTCGTTTTTGAGGTCTTTAACTGCAACTGGATTCAAGCTGATTTTACAGTTGAAACCAGACCCTTCAGACAGGGAGGCAGGTCTGAGCCTGGTACGAGGGGCTGGGATACAGTCCAAGGCAGTCTGTCTGCTGTCCTGCCATCTCTCTCCAGTACAAACCCCCCTCCGCCCCCCCCCATCTCCCTCTAGATAAGAGCCAGCTCCTGGAGCCCCCACACCTAGCCAGCCCCCTCCACAGCACCTTTGACTCTCCACTGGAGTAAGATTAAGTCCTTCATTTTCCTTTTGGGGGAGGAGGGGTGGCTGCTAGAGTTGGAAGGAGACAGGTTCTTCCAGTTGGTAAATGATTCTCTGGGTTTGGCTTGATACCTCTAAACAGTTCACCATTTTAGACAAGGAGGAGTTGGCAACTTGAAGAGTTGATTTACAGAAGTATTTCTCAAACCAGTGCATTCCCCAGGCATAAGTCTGCCCCATGTGAGGGATGCAACACCCATTTCCACCTCTGCCAGGAGCCTCCTGGGGCTGGGCTCTGCCATCACACACCTCTCTCGCCCTTCCCAGCAACCCCGCAAGGTGGAGATTATCGCGTCCTTTACAAAAGAAGAAACTGAGGTTCAGAGCGTCTGGACTCGTGTGAGGCCATGAGGGCAACCAGGGGCCAAACTGAGCTTTGGACTTGGGCTCCAATGGCCCTGAAGCCTGTGGCTTTCTCTGCACTACCGGCCAGTCCCCAGAAAGGACCACAGGATAGCCACAGAATTCAAGTAGTTGTGGATCTCCGTCAGCAGCTGCATCCTTTGTTCGGTGCTGGGCACACAGTGGTTCCAAAGATAGAGACCGAGGATGGTCCTTCGCTCTGAAAAGTGAACGAGTCTTGTTCTCCGTTTATGCTCTCTGGGTGGCAAGTCTTGTACGTGCGGGAGAGCTGAAACAGTAGGAGGCAGTGGTAACGTGAGCGATGCCGAAGTGAGCACTGCAGACATTTAAGGAGCCCAGAGAGCCTCTGGGAGGGAATCCACGTCTCATCAGCACCTAGCAAAGCACAGGCCCAGCTCTCATGTGTTCACTTTGCTGAGTTGCAGGGAACAGAGCTGCCAGGTCAGTGCCCCTCGAGGACAGAGCCTGGCTAAGAGTGGAACTTGGCTGGAGCAGAGAATGTTCCTTCAGCCGAGCTCAGTGCCAGGCACATTGGAGGCTCATGGGGCAGAGGAGAGGAGGGGAGGGGTCCCATACTGTGGCTGGTGCCTCCTCGGCCAGCAGCATCTGGGTGTCTGCCAGCCGCTCCTGCAGGTGATACATCGGGGCGGCCGTCTAGCGTCTGTGTGTGTGTGTGTGTGTGTGTGTGTGTGTGTGCGCGCGCGCGCTGCTCTCTCCCGGGGCTCTCTAAGGGATCTTCTGGGTGGCTCTGTTTACAGCTGCCTCCCTCTCCTGTGCATCCTGCCCCCCTCTGCCCAGAGATTCCTCTTGGCCCGCTGCTCTGTCTCCTGAACCCCACAGCCCACAGGAGAAGCCAGATCCCCTCCACAATCTGCCCTGGAAGCGCCCATCACCCCTTGTGGTGAGTTTGGAACCTCCAGATGCCTTCAACTTGCTGTCATTCTGCAGCTGTCCTGGCTCTTTCCAGACTCGCACCAGTGTGGCATTTCTTTTGCCTAAGAACTTCTATTCCCCGGTCTCCTAATGAAAGTCACCTTCTTCCTCAAATTGTAGTATTTGAGCATCCCCCCACTGCCCTGTGGCTCCTCTGGATACCTCTAGGCTCTGTTAGACCCCTCCTTATCTGTCTTCCACGCACCATGTTCATTTTTTTTTTTTTAAGATTTTATTTATTTGACAGAGAGAGAGATCACAAGTAGAGAGAGAGAGAGGAGGAAGCAGGCTCCCCACCTAGCAGAGAGCCTGATGTGGGACTCGATCCCAGGACCCTGAGATCATGACCTGAGCTGAAGGCAGAGGCTTAACCCACTGAGCCACCCAGGCAGCCCCATGTTCATCTTTTTAAAGTGCTTGCCTGTTGTCTTATAATCAACTCTCTATACACCTGTCTTCCTCACAAGGCCCTGTCTCTGCATCCCTAGGACCTAGAGTGATGCCTGGCTCTTGCTAGGCTCCAGTAATTGTTGCCGAATGAAGGAGTGAAGGATGAAGGAAGAAAATAAACACCATTGTCTGCTTTTAATATTGTAAGGCCAGCCTACAATCCAAATGCACCCACAATAGTGTTTCTGTCTGGAGAGTGGGAAGCCGCCCAGCCCAAGGGCCTTGCCTCTGTGTTTGCTGACCTCCTCCTGCCGGGCCTCTGTCTGAGGGAGCTTGGTATGCTGTATCGTCTTGTTTACAGACCCTCTCGAGCTGTCCTGACAGCTGGGCGGCCCTAGTTCCTCCAGGCTGGTCTTTTTGCACTAGCTTTGGATTCTGGAAAAATAGCTATTGCTTTGGAAAATCGACCCTTATTTTTGTTCCTTTGAAACTTGAATGACTTTCCTAAGAAATGCCTGAGGTTAGAGTGGTGCAGAGAGACAGGCCGATGGCCAAAACCCAGGCAAGCTATTTTCGTGTTGTGAATGAATACCCATCGCGTTTTTCCTTCCATCAGCCTGAGCACTTGTTCCAAATAGCTCACAGCTTGGGCTCACAAAGCACAGACTCCTTTGGTACATGGGGTGGAGACCCACGTGTGTCTGTGTCTGTCTGACTGAGATGGATGCTGTGCTTGCAGCAGACACAAGGAATAGAGAAAAGTTTCGAGAAGTTGCCATTTGTCGTCTGTATAGGGGGAAGACCTACCCTCTGGTAACTAATGGAGGAAGACTTCCAAGTTTGGTGTTTAAGGATAGGTGGGAAGGCCACGAAATCTAGGGAGGCACGTGCTTTGAATGTTTTGCTCTGTGTGCTGTTACGTGGCTAGATACACTAATATCAGTCAACTCATTAACAACACCATGAATTAAAGGTTTTCAGTGGTGCTCACAGAATCTAGTGTGCTTCTCTGCTTTGTCCCTTGCCCTTTACTAGTTCCTATTTCTTGAACTATATGGCTCATAGTGAGATTGACCAGGTAATGCTGACATCAACCCAGGCATAGCTTTGAGCAATCTGTAGTTCTTTACAGCCCGCGAGAGGAGTAGGGTATTGGAGGGGGAGAAAGACTGCTAGCAAGACAGCATTGCCAGATCAGAAGGGATGACTGTATATTTTCTGTAGATGGTTTATGTTTAGCATTAAGTATTTATGTTTAGTATGCTTAATATCCCAAAGGAATTTTAGTTTTCCCTCCCAGCGCCCATCCCCCCCACTCTGCCTATGTTGCCGTGGTGCTCACCTCTGCTTCCACCTACCTTTGCAGGTGTGACGTGTCTCCAGATACTTGATGGTGTTGTCCTCTGACATCTCCATACCACTGCACCACACAGCTCCTGAAACATGGGGGAAAACGAAGATGAGAAGCAGAGCCAGGCCGGGCAGGTTTTCGAGAACTTTGTCCAGGCTTCCACATGCAAAGGCACCCTCCAGGCCTTCAACATCCTCACACGACACCTGGACCTAGACCCTCTGGACCACAGGAACTTTTATTCCAAGCTCAAGTCCAAGGTGACCACCTGGAAGGCCAAAGCCCTGTGGTACAAACTGGACAAGCGTGGATCTCACAAGGAGTACAAGCGAGGGAGGTCCTGTATGAACACCAAGGTAAGGGAAAACCCTGGGATTTCTTACCCATGTGGGGTGTGCGGGTTGGCTTGGGAAGTGAGGCAGCTCTTGCCATTCTGCTGATCTGAGGTTCTTAATAGGTGTGGGGGTGTGTGAGCATTTTGCTTGGTTAAAGGTTTCCTTTGTCTGTACGAGCACAGCATGTCCTGTGTGGGACCTTCTGCCCTACTGTGGTGGCCTTAGCTACTCTCCCTGTGTCCTCTCCATGGCAGAGAGAAGAAAGGCATGCTCGTCTTTATCCTCCTACTATTACTGCTACTACTTCTAGTAGCTAGTTGCTCTAGTGCATACTGGGCACTTTGTAAGCATGGTCTCAGTGAACACCACCATGGTCCTTTGGGCCATTTGAGAGCTCTGGAAACTGAGAAGTTGGTTATCTTGCCCAAGATCACACACCAAGGAGGCAGCCTTGGTCTGTCTGATTCTAGAGCTTATGCCCTAAATTCTGTTCCCCTGGGAGCCACTGTTGTAGAAAGATCCCTTGACTTTTATTGGCTAAGAAATAGGTCTTTGGTCCTTACTGCCTTTTCCTCCCTCTCTCCCCCTTCTTCCCCCCACCGTCTTCCCCAGGATACATTTCTGTGCTTGGGTCACGCTTGCAGTTAACCCCCCACAGGCTGATTACTCCCCCACCCCCAACTGTTTGACCATAGGCTACTTCGATGAACATGGCCTAAGTAAGCAGCGCATGACCTCTCTTCTCTCTCTGCGATGCCCATTGCCTAATGGGCAGCCGGAAGTCAAGACTTTCCTGCTGGCCCCTGGGGGCTGTCAGCCCTGGGCCGTGGTCCAGACTGTATGTTTAGGTTAAAAGTGAGCGTGCTGTATTTAGACCTCACAGGAGGTAGCTCAGCCAGAGCCCTTGGAATTTTAGTTGGTGCCAATCCCAGAGAAGGGGATTGAATTCTCCATGGCGATCAGGACTGTTGTGTTTTTGTTTTGGTGATGAGGAGATGTTAAGTGTACCGTGGGATACCGTGGGATACAGCCGTTTTCCCTTGCCCCTGGGGGACAGCTGCCAAAGCTCCTCCAAGCCCCGGGGCACGCTGACTTTATGGGGCATAGAAGAGCATTCCACCAGGTCAGAACTTGAGCCTGGAGCTCCCACCGTCCAGGCAGTGCCTGCCCATAACCTGCCAAGGGGGTTAGCCCTTCAGAACGGAGACGGAAGTATTAAAGAGAAAGGAGAGAAAGGAGTGTGACCCCCACCTAGCTGCTGTAACTTTCCGGTGGCTGGATCACTAGGAAGCTCTTCAGACTTGGAGAGGGGGTGTGCTGTTTGTTTTCAAAGAGTCACCCTCTTCAGTAACAGCATGTGGCGGCTTTCTTTTGAAAAGGTCCCATGGAAGTAGGTGGCCAGGCTGTGAGATGTTTTCTCAGGAAGGTTTTCAGAGACCTTATTCTATGAGGAAGTGCCATGGCTTCATGCACGCACAGTATCTGGCTTTTGAGAGGGCTCTCTCTCGGTGATCCAGGGATCCGAAGACGGATCTGCCGAGGGAGTGAGCCCACGTGGGGGTTGGATAGAGGCTTGACCACCAGGAAGGTGGGCTTTTTTTCAAAAATCACCTGTTAGTCATTTGTCTCGCTTGTCTGGCCACCCTTATTTTACAAGCTTTGATGGGTGGAGATAGAAGAGTCCTTGTGGACTCTTGTGGTCAGCACATTACCACTAGTGCCTGAGATACAAAGGGAAGGCGCTAACATCTGTGGTTAGTGATGCAGAATTGAGAGTGCATCTTGCTCAGGAATTTTATGCCTTGTGGGAGGAGGAACAAAGACCTTTCACATGTGTGGTAGCCCATCTCCTAAAAACTACATAGATCCTGGAGTGTGGAACACATTTGAAAATATGCTCTAAGTATGGCTTGGACTGTGTAAGGTCACTTGAGATGCACAATTCAGAAATCCAGCTCAAAGCTAAACAAAAAAGGGAATCATTAACTTGTGTAAACAGGAAGGTCTGGACAGTCTTTCCCAGCCTGTCTCCTTCCATCTATGTCTTGGACATTTTGCTCTATGTTGGCTCCATTCTTCCCTCCTGTGAACAGATACTCTCCATGTTGATGGCCTCTAGTTCATATCTTTATAGCTCTGTGACCCAAAGGCTAGACTCACTCTCCTCCTGCTCAATATTGAATTAAAATCTCAGGGAAGGATTCTGATTGGCCAGTCTCTGGACCAATTATTGTGCCCAAACCAGGAGACGTGACTAGTGCCTTTGGCAGCCCTTTCAAGCATCGCATGATTTACATGAGGGAGGAGCAGTTTCCCAAGATCACAGAGGTGTGAGATGGAGAAATAACAGGTGTCCTCTGTACGGACTATTTATGTGCACTCTGGTTATCGTATAGTCTCTGTCCATATTGGATTCATGTGGATAGTTAATAGTTGGCTCGGGGAGCCTAGAGCTTGTAGTCCTTGCTGTGAGTCAAACAAAACACAGAACGTGGCTTCTCCCTCTCTTCTAACATGAACAGACACTGTCTCACTCACACACCTCCTTTAGGTATCCTTGGGTGTAGTAGGTATTGCTGAGCTTTAGCCAAACAAGAAATGTTGGGTATTACAATGCACGTGGATGAGCATGAATGCTAAGACCTATAGCATGGTGGGGGGGATCTGGTCGCAAGCCCATAGCCAAGCCCCTGGCTAGCCACAGTTAGAGTAGAAGTAAATGGAATTCAGCCAGAACCCTCATCTTTCCATTGTTGTGGACATCTCAGCACCACCTGAAGTGGAGCTGGGATTTAGCATTTCACAATCTTTTATCAGTAGCTTTCCATGTGCTGAGCACTGTGCTGCTGTCGTCATGCCAGCAGTGAGTGAGTGTGAGTGTGTGTGTATGTATATATGTGTGTATGCAGGTATATTGGCAGTGGTGGTTGGGGGAGATTGACCAGCATCTGTTTGGTTGAACAGAGAAAGCCTCTGGCGGGTGCCAGGGAATAGAGGGAGAGACCTGCAGTGTCACTAGAGCAGTGGCTTAGGTGTTAGCTGCATAATCTAACTTGGGACCATGGTTCATTATTGATTAGTTATGCGGGTTTTGTCAGGCACTTAGTAATTCTTTCCTTGGGTGTGACCTGTTTTGTTAAGGCTAGAGTGAACCAAGAATCAAGCCAAATTAACTCTTTAAGGACCAATATTGGCTCTGTGTCAGGGTAGTACACTGATCAAATGTCCCATCTAATTGTGTAATGTTCCTGGGGGAAAACAGCCCAGAAGAAAAACCAAACAAAACAATACAACGTTTGATATGGGAATTGCTATCATCACAAAATCATGAAGCCTTACATTTATTTTATATGTACCTAATGTCAGGAGGAAGTTGGGAGGATGTTGTGTATCATCTTTCCATTTGACAGGTGACATAGAGGGACCCAGGGACCTGAAGCTGTTGATCTGAAGCTAACAGGTGGCTTTGTCAGGATTTGAACTCTATTGATGGGTTTGCTCCAATATTCTTTTGTTCATTCATTCAGCAGGTGTTTCTAGTGCTCTGGGCCTTATTAGGCACCTGACATGAGAAGTGGCTCTGAGCCACTTCTTGGGAGACAGAAACATTATTTCTGTATTTATTAACTTATTTAGCCATTCATGAAGTGAATGATTATTGAGCAGCTTCTGTGTGCCAGGCACTTGCCTAGGTATCAGTCAGCCACAAACTAACTCTGTGGCCTTGGGCAGGCTACCTAAATCTCTGATCCTCAGTATCTCTGTAAAATGAAGATGGTAATGGTCTCTCCCTCACAGAGTTGCTGTGAGTACTAACTAAGGCAATCTTTGTCATGTATTTAGAACACTGCCTAGTATAAGCGATCAGCAAATGCTGGGCCATTGTTTTCATTAATATCCTAAGTGTATGAGATAATTGCATCCTCTGTTCTGCAGAAGTAGAGAAAAGCAATGACTGAGTCTGAATGGAACAGTCTGGGAATCCTTCCTGGAAGAGAAGGTCTGATTTGGAGCTTGGCATATGAGAAGAAGTTTGCCTTGCTGAGCGGAGGGCACACAAGGTGGACAACTATATTCCAGGAAGAGTGTGTTGCTGTGTAAGAGTAATGAAGGTGTGGGTGGGGAGAGAGGAGTGGGGAGAGGGTGAGATCCAGGGACAGCAGAATAGAAGTATGCAGGAGGAGACCCGGAAAGAACAGCCTCCTGGGGCCAGGCTGTGTAGAGAGGGTCTCGTAGTCAAACAGAGGACCTGGGGGCCCACTCAGGATGATCAGATTCCCGATCCAGGGTTCTTTCTACCACCCTCCATGGGGTTGCTCAGTGATCACAGATAACCCAATGAAGACCAGAAGGCATTTGTACATCATAAAAACATGTGTGCAGGAAATGACTCACAGACTCTTGTCACCAGCAGGAATGGGGCCCGCCTCTAACATGAAGACTGTTGGGTTATCTTGGGAGGAGGAAATGCCTGTATTTTTTGAGCATCTAGCAGGGTCACCGCTTACCTTTTGTTCCTCACCATGACCCTTGCCCACCATGACCTCTGCCTCTGCAGGGGCTCCCCAGAGCAGGGGGAGGGGTGGCTAGCATGACGGTGGCTCTGGAGTCCTAAACCCAGCACAGCAGGAGGTAGGGAGGTAGGGAGGGAGGGGCAAGCTGGCAGGCAAGTCTGCTGTCTCCTGGTCTAGATAAGCCTATCTGACATTCCCCACCTCTGAAATCACCTACCACTGCCCTCAGAGCTGGGCTCCCCCGAGCTGCCTGGGGCACGTCAGGTACCACTCTGCCTAATATGGCCAGCAGCAGCTGGGCCGACAGAGCAAGAGGGTAGTCTTGGGGGTCTGCATTCCTGTGGGGGAACTCTGGCTTTGTCCGCTTACCTGCAATGGCCTCCCAGTGCCACTGTGTTGGACAGGCTTTCCAGCCTAGGTTACGACAGGTTTGTGTTCATTCCTACACTTGTCACCACTGCCCCACATGCAGTTGGTGAGCTCAGCTTGTGAGCGTGTGCACTGGGC